TGAGGGAGTTTCCCAAGCCACCATCCACAGGGCCACCCACCCTCAGAACTTCCGTCTTGTCCGGGTTCAGCCTCAGCCCGTTCTCCTGCATCCATTGCTGTACGGCCCCCAGGCAGCGCAGGAGGGACAGGACGGCATCACCTGCAGTTGGTGAAAAGGAAATATACAGCTGGGTGTCATCAGCATATTGATGACACGATGCTCCACACCCCCTGATGACCCCACCCAGCGGCCTCATATAGATGTTAAACAGCATTGGGGAGATAGCCAATCCCTGTGGAACCCCACATCTGAGAGTCCACGGGGCCGAAACGCTCTCCCCAAGCTGCACTCTCTGGGGACGGTCCTCCAAGAAGGAATGGAACCAGGCCAGAGCCAAGCCACCGATACCCAACTTTTGGCTGGCCTTACTCATGAGTAGACCCGAACATTCAGCCACCCTTACTCATGAGTAGACCAGCGCCTTTGGCAGCATTTACTCATGAGGAGACCCACGCCAGGGATGGGCAGGGAGCGCACCGGCTTTCTGCACCCCATGGCGATCCGGAGCTGCCCCCGCCTCTCCTTCCTCCTCCTGCGCCGCAAAAAAGTAAAAAAAGTTCCCTGGCCCCCTGCTCTAACCATTGGGGCGAAAAAGCTACAAAGAAGCAGCCTCCTCGCCACCAACGGTTTGAATTTCCCACCTTTTCCCCCTGCCTTTTTCTGTTCTTAAGTCGAATCTCTGCTCGCAAGTCGAAGCAAAATTTTGCGAGCGTAGGTAGGGGTATTCGTAAGTCGAGGCACCACTATATAAGCTTAGAATTCTAAGCAAGTTCACCAAGAATTCTCATTATCAACTTTTTGAGCACATAATTTTGTAAGTAAACATTGTTTTGTCTTTTTATTATTGCCTGGCTGATTATTTTTGCTGGTCTACTTAGCTGGGAATTCTAAGCCTATATACATATACATAGGTATCTGTCCATGTAAGTTGTCCTGCTGTTAGCTTGGACTATAGGATAAATTAACAAAGAACCTTCCAACAGTCAAAAGAAGAAAATCACCCCAAAATGTATTTATTGATGAGAAAAACCTTTTCACAGATTTTACGAGTAGAAAAGTCTGAACCCATCTCTGAGCTTCTTGGAAACATTTTTGGGCATCATGATGCAGGATGAAATGTTAATATCTTAATCACATATTCTGAAGCTGTTCTATACCACTGCTGCAAGGGGAAGAGAGTAGGATATGAGGAGGGAATAAGTAATGACAATAACTTTTCTGTTGTATGTACTGGAAAATATATATTTTTAAATAAAGTAAAATTAAAATCTGCAGCAAACCGCAAATCCTGAGCAGTGGGTAAGATTTTTTAAATGTATGCTCCAAGCTCTAAGTGTAGCACAGAAGACTTGCTCATAAAACACGCTCGGGCTGCTTCTTTCAACATCTGTATCCTGGAAGGGTGATCAAAACTATCCTTCACATCCAAGCCCAAGAGGCAAAGGGATCCTTACCTGGAAATATCTCATTCCAAGAAATGTTCAACGGGATCTTCCTCCCCAGAGCTCTTTGACCCCGATCCAGATGATCTCACTCCCTGTTGGGGAAATCTGGGGTCACCTCCTCAAAGGGCAATGGCAGCTGAAAGGGGAAATCACAATAAGAATCTTCTCTATTTCCTCCCCTATAAGTAGACAGAATTTCCCTGCTTCCACCAACACTCCCAGTTTGGAATGGGAACTGGCCAACTCAGAGAGTGTGCTTTCTTGAACTTAAAACATTGCATTTATTTTATGGAAAAAGACAGCTACAGTGGTGCCTCGCATGACGTTAATTCGTTCCAGTGAAATCGCTGTAGAACTAAAACGTCGTAATGCGAAATTAAAAAGCCCATAGAAACGCATTAAAACCCGATTAATGCATTCCTAGGGGCTTAAAACTCACCATCCAGCGAAGATCCTTCATAGCGCGGCCATTTTCGCTGCCTGTGCAGTGAGGAATCCATCCCGGAAAAGAGCAGGGAGCCATGTTTTTTACCCGGCGGCCATTGTGAAACCGCTGATCAGCTGGCCGAAAATCATCGCTTTGCAAGAATCGGTTCCCAAAGCAGGGACCCGATCATCGCAAAGCGAAATTCCCCCATAGGAAACATCATTTTGCGATTGCAAAATTTTCAACATAAAGTGATTTTGTCGTAAAACAGAGTGTTCATAATGCAAGGCACCACTGTACATATAATAGAAAACGAGGAACGTTGTTGTACCACCTCCTGACCACTGAACCAGCTTTATGGCTTAAACTCAAATATCACAATATATGAGGAGCAGTACAAAACATCACATACCGTAATTACACATAAAATGACTTATAATTGACCGTGCGCTACGGTGTATGATGTTGATCACAACAAGGAAATCCCAACACTCCCCAGCAATTAAGAAATTTACAAAGAGTGTAAACTAGAGCGTAAACTATTTCTGTATCAAGCCTATAAAATAAAGACTGTCATCTCATGTTCACCTTATACTAGAGAAGATCCATGGCGTCCTGTTATTCTGGACTTCTAACTGCAATTAGATATTTTATTTTAAACCAAGCTATATGTGTTGGGACAGTCCACGAGTTTAAGAGGTTTTGTCTTTCATTACCAGGAGTAACGACGCTCCCCCGATTCTCAAAATGTTCACATTTCCTGGCTCTCTAAGGAAAATGAGCTCAACCCTTCTAACATTTTAAAGGTCTGAATGGGAGCAACTTTCCCCACCTTTTCCACAGCCACTCTCCCAAATTTATCCAAACGTCCATCCAACGGCATGTGTATATCCTCTCCTCCAAGACCTTAACCTCCAGACACCCCATCTTTTCCCTGAACGGCAACAAACAGGAACCCCAGGGGAAAACAAAAGCACACCAAGGGGGGCAAATTGCAATCCGAATTGCACAGAGAAAGCCCCACACCCCCCACCGGTCCCTGGGAGTCTTTTCAAATCTCACCACCCCCATTACTCCTCCCTGCCCCTTCATTGCGAGATCTTCTCGGGAGCAGGGAGAAATGTATTGGGGGGGGGGGGAGGCTTTAGAACCCCTTTAATCTGCTTTCCTTTTTTTTCAAAAAAAGATGAAAGCCTTCTGTGTTGCTCCACAAAGATTTTGGAACTCCTTCCCACTGGAGGCCAAGCTGGTTCCCCCTCTTTGGTGCCCTTCCGCAAGCAGGCAAAGACCTTTCTCTTCAGGCGAGCCTTCCCACGGTAAAACATCTACCACTGTGTGATTGTTAGACAGATTGTAACGCGTTAGTGCTTTGTCTAGATTTTTAGTACTACTCCTATTTTCCATTTTTGCATTTTCCATTTCTCAGAGGGACATTTTTTTAAACTTTGCATACTTACTGATCTCTGCCTTCATATTACCTGTTAACGTCATAAGAGGCCTCCTTATGCACACCGTCCCTAGTTTTCAATATGGCCTTTTAATGATGTTCACCACCGTTTTCAACTTCAGATATTGTCTTTCACTGCTTGTTATGCCGTCTTGGATCCTTTGCAAGGAGAAAGGCGGGGTAGAAATATTTAAAGTAGATAATAATAAATGAATAAAACAAGCCCTCTTGCAGGCTTTCTGGAGGGCAATAAGAAAAACAAAAAACAGATGGATCCTGAGGATATGTTCCCCCTTTGCAAAAATAGAAGATGGGGAAGAGACAGAAGTAGGGTTGCCAGATACACGGGTATTAAAAGGAGGACATAGAAAGATTAAAAAGAGGACAGAAGAGGAGGTATTGAATGTTTCATTTGAATCATCCCAGATTAAGCCCACAATCAATACAATTTCATTACAATAGCTGCCAATAAATGTCTCTTAGTGAACCGACCAAGAAACAGTTATGTTAAAAATTAAAAATAAATTCAATGTAGGCTTTTTTTAAAAAAATACCAGGGTGGGCGAGCAGGTGGGGGGGGCAGGAAAAGCCAGGGGGAAGGGGGTCCTTCCACCTCTCCCCCTCCTATCCAAAATTATAACATAAAATAAACAAAAGCCTGACATTTTAAAGGATTTTATCTTTGTCTCCCTGACGGAGGACATTAGGCTAAAACATGTTTGCCTGACATCAGGCAACCCCAGACAGAAGTCCCTTAAACTTCCCCAAAACTCCCCCCCCCAATTCCTTCGCCTGCAAAAGCTGCAATTCCCTCCCTCTTGCCCTCCCAGCCCCACCTTGGCTGTTCGTAGGAAGGAAGGAGGGAGGGAAGATTCAGCCCAAGGGAAGCAAAGCAATGGGGAAGGCAGGCAGGCAGGCCCCTGCTTGGACCCTCAGCCTTCCAGGCCCCACAGGCCAGGCTCGGCGCCCCTTCCCGGCTCCCTCCGCCACCTCCTCACCTGCAGCTCTGCTTCCTTCCGACGAGCGCCCTCGCCCTCTGTTCGGACCAGGGGGACACTCTAGGAATTAAGATCTCTTCCTCTCTCTCTCTCTCGCTCCCCCTTTTCTCCTCTAGCGCCGAAACAAGACACTCTAGGAATGAACTTTATTTCTCTCCCGACTCTCCATCGTCTTCCTGAGGAGACTCTCTAGGAGCGAGGGTTGCTACTTGTTTCGCCAACCCTTACGTCCTTCCAGGAAACACCCTCTAGGAAATTAGAGGCCGGGCTTTGCCTCTCTTCCCTCGTTCCTAGGGAGACTTTCTAGGAATCCAGGAAATAAGAGTGGGACGAATTGCTCATCTGGGTGAATGGAAAAGTCATTTATTTTTCCGTTTTCGCAAAAGCCTCCCTACGCTGCCAAGATCTTTCACAGGGAAATATTTTACAACGGCGGAGGGGGGTGGTTGGAGGAACATATGGTTTTAGTGTTGTGTTGCTTATGTTGCTTTTACCATTAGTCTTAGCAGGACTGGTTTCAAGTGGGTTCCTTTCATAATATGCACCAGGTCCTTCTCTAAGGCATCTGCTGAGGGACGTCCAACCGTCTGAGAATGGCTCAACAAGACATCAAGTTCATTTCAAATGTGGTGTAATTGGAGGACATCATCAGAAACACAAATAAATGTTCACTTTGTGACATCTGTTTGTTGCTGTTTTGTGTTGAATGCATGAATGTGTTCAAAGGAAAGCAAAGTGTTCTGCTTATATACTGCCCCATAGTGCTTCAAGCACTCTCTGGGCGGTTTACAAGTTAATTATGCAGGCTACACATTGCTCCCCCACCCCACCCCAGTGAGCTGGGTACTCATTTTACCAACCTCAGAAAGATAGAAGGCTGAGTCAACCTTGAGCCGACTACTTGGGATTTGAACCCCAGATCGTGAGCACAGTTATGGCTGCAGTACAGCTGTTTAACCAATATGCCACGAGGCTCTTTCAAATCAAACTGGAACTATTCCCAGAAGTAAAATTGACTAAACTCAAGCTATGTGTGATACTTTGGGCATAACAAGAAGAGCCAAGGCTGACTGGAAAACAGGAAGACCAAGTGAGAGAGGGATGGACCCCATAAAGGAAACCCCCGGTCTTGCCTTTGCAGAGCTCAGCAGCACCACTGATTAGAAGACTTTTTGAAGGTCTCTAATTCAAAGTGTGGCCATGAGGGTGAAGCAGATAACAATCACTACGACTACTACAAGAACAACAAATCCTAGGGTGAGCTAAATATACTGAGCCCAGAACATGCTCACAGACTTCTCTGCGGCAAGGGATAGTTGGCTGGTATTCACCTAGTTACCTTGGGAAACAAACTGTGACCAGAACTGAAACGTCAATCGCAATTTCCAGTGGATGGCTGAAATCCTGTTGCTTAACATCCTATGTTGCACGAGTGTGGCTCATTGAAACAAGTGAGGATCGGGAGAGTCAACTCCTCTGTAGGGCCAATGGATTCAGATGGATCTACTTGCTACTTGTTTTAGTAAAAGGAAGTAGCAACTAGAATACTACACTAGGAGCACTCAATTCCAAGAAACTTATGCAGTTGA